TTACAAAAGAGGAAAGTCACTACAAGATATACTCGTAAGAGCTAATCTATGAAGGTAAGGCCAAACCAACAGAAACTCAGCCAAAGAGAGACGTGAATAGCCTGTCAACATTATGAACAACACAAACTATGAAGCTTCAAGGTCAAAGATATACAATTATTTGGCCAAAAGGAGTCGTGTATGGCCTGTCAAAATTATGAAACATATTTCCTCGTGTTGTGCAATTTTCAACGATTGTCTCGATAAAAAAACGAATGCAATAAACCTTCGGCCCCACTTGTGTGGTATTGACTAAAAGTATCCAAACGTAATGCCTGTTATAGGACCTTGCCGCGTTCTTAAGTCATTTTACAAGGGCGCCTTAAGACTCAGCGTTTTATGCAAAATATCTGATCGTAAAATATTGCCCAGAAATTTCGCTTACATTTTTTGGAAAATCATGATAAAAGTATAAAAGCCAGAAGAAACTATAAAAGGCTTCAGGTGCCATAGCATTGAGACACAGAGCCTTCGTATGGTCCAAGCGCTGTTTTCAAAAAAGGAAACTTGTGTTCCATTTCCGTCAAAGAGAAAAAATTTACCAAATAAAGCTGATTCCTGCAAATTACCATAAACGAAAAACGAACTGTAATACAAACCATTCAACCACGACCATACTCGCCAAAAACGCGTCCAATCGGGAAAAAAAATTGCGACTCGTCATACAAAAATAAACTAAACTTTAGACAACAGGGTAACAGAGTAACAAGGAAACAAAATAACAAGGTAACAGAGTAACAAGGTAACAAGGGAACAAAGTAACACAGTAACAAGGTAACAGAGTAACAAGGTAACAAGGTAACAGAGTAAAAAGATGACAAGGTAAAAGGATAACAGAGTAACAAGGTAACAGGGTAACAAGGTAACAGAGTAACAAGGTAACAAGGTAACAGAGTAACAAGGTAACAAGGTAACAGAGTAACAAGGTAACAAGGTAACAGAGTAACAAGGTAACAGGGTAACAAGGTAACAGAGTAACAAGGTAACAAGGTAACAGAGTAACAAGGTAACAGGTTAACAGAGTAACAAGGTAAGAGGGTAACAAGGTCACAGGGTAACAAGATAACAGAGTAACAAGGTAATAAGGAAACAGAGCAACAAGGAAACAGGGAAACAGATCAACAAGGTAACAGAGAACAGAACTACAAGGCATCAAGGAACGAAGTAGAAAGAGTGAAGGTATAAGTTAAGTAGGTAAAATCGGTACAATATATGTCCCCATACATGACGTACCTACCGAGAAAACAGTACGATGAAACGAGGGATGCGACGGCTCGAAGACATGGAATCGACGCCACGAAGACAACAAACAATGACTCGAAGAACAATTTTCGAAGCATACAGGCATGCACTTACCTTCACTTGCATGCACTTACATCACTTGTATGTACTTACCTTCACTTGCATACACTTACCTTCACTTGTATGCACTTACCTTCACTTGTATGCACTTACCTTCACTTGCATACACTTACCTTCACTTGTATGCACTTACCTTCACTTGCATGCACTTACCTTCACTTGCATACACTTACCTTCACTTGTATGCACTTACCTTCACTTGCACGCACTTACCTTCACTTGCATACACTTACCTTCACTTGTATGCACTTACCTTCACTTGTATGCACTTACCTTCACTTGCATGCACTTACCTTCACTTGCATACACTTACCTTCACTTGTATGCACTTACCTTCACTTGTATACACTTACCTTCACTTGTATGCACTTACCTTCACTTGCATGCACTTACCTTCACTTGCATACACTTACCTTCACTTGTATGCACTTACCTTCACTTGTATGCACTTACCTTCACTTGCATACACTTACATTCACTTGTATACACTTACCTTCACTTGTATGCACTTACCTTCACTTGCATTCACTTACCTTCACTTGCATACACTTACCTTCACTTGCATACACTTACCTTCACTTGCATACACTTACATTCACTTGTATACACTTACCTTCACTTGTATACACTTACCTTCACTTGTATGCACTTACCTTCACTTGCATGCACTTACCTTCACTTGCATACACTTACCTTCACTTGTATGCACTTACCTTCACTTGCATGCACTTACCTTCACTTGCATGCACTTACCTTCACTTGCATACACTTACCTTCACTTGTATGCACTTACCTTCACTTGTATGCACTTACCTTCACTTGCATACACTTACCTTCACTTGCATGCACTTACCTTCACTTGTATGCACTTACCTTCACTTGTATGCACTTACCTTCACTTGCATACACTTGCATTCACTTGTATGCACTTACTTCATTTGTACGCACTTACCTTCAATTATACGCACTACCTTCACCTGTATGCACTTGCCGTCACTTGTACGCTCCTAGAGGGTAGCAAAGGGTTTATGGGTGACGCGTGTTTAGGCCCAAATTTAGTGCGTGAGTCGCGTGAATAACAAGGTAATAACGAAACAGAGTAACAAGGTAACAAGGTAACAGAGTAAGAAGGAAACAAGGGAACAAAGTAACACAGTAACAAGGCAACAGAGTAACAAGGGAACAAGGTAACAGAGTAACAAGGTGACAAGGTAAAAGGATAACAGAGTAACAAGGTAACACAGTAACAGAGTAAAAAGGTAACAGAGTAACAAGGTAACAGAGTAACAAGGTAACAAGGAAACAGAGTAACAAGGTAACAGGGTAACAGAGTAACAAGGTAACAGGGTAACAAGGTCACAGGGTAACAAGATAACAGAGTAACAAGGAAACAGAGTAACAAGGTAATAAGGAAACAGAGCAACAAGGAAACAAGGAAACAGATCAACAAGGTAACAGAGAACAGAACTACAAGGCATCAAGGAACGAAGTAGAAAGAGTGAAGGTATAAGTTAAGTTAGTAAAATCGGTACAATATATGTCCCCATACATGACGTACCTACCGAGAAAACAGTACGATGAAACGAGGGATGCGACGACTCGAAAACATGGAATCGACGCCACGAAGACAACAAACAATGACTCGAAGAACAATTTTCGAAGCATACAGGCATGCACTTACCTTCACTTGCATGCACTTACTTCATTTGTACGCACTTACCTTCACTTATACGCACTACCTTCACCTGTATGCACTTGCCGTCACTTGTACGCTCCTAGAGGGTAGCAAAGGGTTTATGGGTGAGGCGTGTTTTGGTCCAAATTTAGTGCGTGAGTCGCGTGAAGCGTGAAAGTTCCCAAAATAGGAACCTGATCCGTGAAACCAGTTATGCATGGGAAGTATGATTTATCGTATAAGATGCGCAGTACTCGGTGAGTAATTCAATATAGCACAGACAGAAAAGCCTCGTACGTCACAGTCGGTGTAGGCTGCACAGAAGGACCAATTTTGTAAGGGCGAAGGGACAAATTTCGAGGACACGCGCGCACCCTCTAGGGGAGAAAAAGAGTAAAACTAACCAAAAAACTGACCTTCGCTTGCGACGCAGGCTTCAGTCGTTAGCGGGTTAAAAGAAGTCGCATCGAGGGCGTTAATGTGTTTTCAGTTTGAACGTCTGGAAACACGTGTTTTCCACATCCGCGACTGCTAGTGAACACCCACATTCTAATGAGAGGAGAAACGGGAGAAGCTGCGACCGTCAAATACAATGCAAATTGAGATCCATGATGGCTGTGTTTCGGTTCTTATTGCTACTCTCCACCTACCTGTTGTATATATAAGCCCCCCGTTTATAAGCCCTCCTGAACCGTTTAAACCCTAAGATCAAAATTGAGATTCTCGTTTACTGTCCCTATACTTTTTCAATACAAGTAGTGGGGAGAATTTGTTGAAATATCAGATAGACTCATCTTCCCTGATCATGTACTCAATTCTCATGACAACTCTGTTTTCTAAAGAATTTTTCTGAAAAAGTTCATGCTCATCACTCTTAGGGCTTAAACGGTTTAAGCCCTTACAAAGTTGTATAAGCCCTGGCATTTGAAGGGCTCCTGGCCCAGTCCTCACAATCAGAAGTTTACGGTACCCGTCTCCTCCCATAAATAAAGAAAAATGAAGCCTAAGTGGAGAAAGATTCAATACAAATATCTAGAACTGCGCTAACACAGAGATTCAGAATTAAGTTTACGTCAAACGGCAAACTTGGAATTCAAGTTAAGAAGAACGTCTTTGTAATTTTGCTTTGTCGCGAACCTGATGAATTCCCCCCGCACAACGGCATACCATAAACTTCCGATTATTAGCCCCATAATAAGAACGAAAAAAGCTGAAAACAAGGTTAAAAGTTTCATGCCTGCGTTTCCACTGCTCAAGGCCATATACCGCCGGACATGTTTGTGTATACTAAAAGATTCTTTCACTTTGTTCTCATTGTATTTCCGTCAATGACTGTTGCATAAAGTACCATTTTGCTCCTTTTCTCTTATTTTATTACCCGAGATGACGTAGTCAGCAAGCGTCATAAATTCGGTAGCGCATTCCTTTCGTATTTTTCTAAGGAGTGAAAAATTGTCTTGTTTTTTCAACTTTCCTATATCCCGTACCCGTCCCGCAAAATTGTGTGGTTTTCATTGGCTAAACCTTCCAATCAAAAGCAAGTCAGGTTCGATTGCACAAGCAGAAAAAAGATACTGCGTCAGACAAGAAGCAAAAAGTAAGCTTATTGCGTAGAGGAGGAGTAGTTCACTGTGCCCCCTGTGTCCCTTGTGCCCCCTTGTGTCCCCTGTGTCCCTTTGTGTCCCCTGTGTCCTCTGTGTCCCTTTCTCTCCCCTGTGTCTCTTGTCTTCCTTGTGTCCCATTGTGTCCTCCTTTGTCCCTTTGTGTCTTCTGTGTCCCTTTGTGTCCCATGTATTCCTTGTGTTCCCTATGTCCCCTTGTGTTCCGCGTGTGTTCTTGTGTCCCCTGTGTACGTTTGTGTCCCCTGTATCCCTTTGTGTTCCCTGTGTCCCCTTGTGTCCCTTTTGTACCTTTGTGTCCCCTGTGTCCGTTGTGTCCCCTTGTGTCCCCTGTGTCTCTTTGAGTTTCCTGTGTCCCCTGTGTCCGATGTATCCCCAGTATCCCTTTGTGTCCTCTGTGTCCCCTGTGTCTCTTATGTCCCCTTGTCTCCCTTGTGACTCCTGTGTCCCATGTGTCCTCTCGTGTGCCTTGTGTCCCCTGTCTTCCTTGTGGTCCCTCTGTTCCATGACTCTCCTGTATCCTTTATCCCTTGTGTCCCCTATGTCCCTTTGTGTCCCTTGTCTCCTGTGTCCCTCGTGTCACCTGCGTCCCATGTGCCCCCTTGTGTCCATTGTGTCTCCTGTGTCCCATGGAGACCCTGTGTCTCTTGTGTTTCCCTTGTGTCTCCTGTGTCCCATGGAGGCCCTGTGTCCTTTCTGTCCCCTGTATCCCTTGCGTTCCCTATGTCCCCTTGTGTCCCCTGTGTACCTTTGTGTTTCTTTGTTCCAATTGTGTCACCTGCGTCTTATGTGTCCCCTTGTGTCCCTTCTGTCCCCTGTGTCCATTGTGTCTCCTGTGTCCCTTGTGTACCATGGAGCCCCTGTGTCCCTTGTGTCCCTTGTGTGCCCTGAGTCTCCTGTGTCCCTTGTGTCTCCTGTGTCCCCTTGTGTCCCCAAGTGACCCTGTGTCCCTTGGGTCTCTTCTCTCCCCTGTGTCCATCGTGTCCCTTGATCCCCTTTGTTTCTTGTGTCCCCTGTGTCCCCTGTGTGCCTTGGGTCAACTTACGTCCCATGTAACACATGTCCTCTTTGTTCCCCTGTGTCCCCTGGGTCACCTTTTGTTACTTGTGTCCCCTGTGACCCTTGTGTCTTCTGTGTCCCGTGTGTGCCTTGGGTCAACTTATGTCCATTGCCCTTGACCCGTGTGTCCCCTGTGTTCCTGTGTCCCCTATGTCGGTTGTGTCCCTGTGTGTGTCGCCTGTGTCGGCTGCGTCCCTTGTGTCTCCTGTGTCCCATAAGTCTCCCCCTTGTCTGTCCCATAACGTCCCTGTGTCCCTTGTGTCCCTTGTGTCCCATGGAGCCCTTGTGTCCCCTGTGTCCCTTGTGTGCACTGAGTCTCCCTGTCTCCCCTGTGTCCCCTAGTATCCACTTGTATCCCTTGTGTACCCTGTGTCCCTTTGTGTCCCTTGTGTTGCTTGTGTCTCCTTGTGTCCCTTTTGTACTTTTGTGTCCCCTGTGTCCCTTGTGTTCCCTGTGTCCCCTGAGTCCCTAGAGTCCCCTGTGCCACTAGTGTCCCCTGTGTCCCTTTTGTTCCCTGTGTCCCCTGACTCCTTAGAGTCCCCTGTGTCACTTGTGTCCCCCGTGTCCCTTGTGACCCCTGCATATCTGGTGTCCCCTTGTGTCCCATGTGTCCCCTTGAGTTGATTGTGTCTCCTGTCTTCCCTGTCTCCCTTGTGTTCCCTAAGTCCCATGCCTCCATTTTGTTTTCCTGTGTCCCTTGTGTCCCCTGTGTCTCTTGTCTCCCCTGTGTCCCTGTGACCTCTGTGTCCCTTGTGCCCCTGTGTCTCCTATGTCCTTTGTGTCTGCTGTGTCCCTTGTGTCCCCTGTGTAACTTGTGACTCCTGTATCTCCTTGGGTTCACTGTGTCCCTTTTGTCTATTGTGTCCCCTGTGTCGGTTGTGTCCCCTTATCTAAACGAACTACCCTTCATTCTAAATAACAATGCTAAAGATTCTATCTTACTACCAGATGGTTCTCACTTAAACTGTCTACTTTATGCCGATGATTTACTTTTAATATCTAGCTCGGCAGAAGGTTTGCAACAAAGTCTTGACAGACTATCAAAATATTGTCAGGATTGGCTTCTTAAGATTAATCCAACTAAAACCAAAGTTATTGTATTTCAGAAGAAAAGTAGAAAATCAGCAATAGATAAACACAATTTTATGGTTAGCAATGAAAACATTGAAATCGTCAATAACTATACCTATCTTGGAGTGAAACTTTCTGCCAATGGAAATTTTACAAATCACAAGGAAAACTTAACAGAAAAAACAAAGAGATCCTTTTTTGCCGCTCGTCGTTATCTAGATTTTCTAAAATTACCAATTCACATCATCAACAAACTGTTCAATACACTATTTTTCCCAATTTTAACATATTGCTCTGAAGTTTGGGGAATCTATGATAAAAGTGATTATAGCCGCTGGGATAAAGACTCGATTGGGAAAACGCATGTACATTTTTGTAAGATGTGTTTAGGTTTAAACAAACGTTCACCGAATGTTGCATCCAGAAATGAACTTGGTAGATTATCTCTAAATTTACAAATAACAATGAACATTTTCAAATTTTGGATTCACCTTGAAAATCAACCCCCTGACAGCATCGCTAAACTCTGCTTAAACATATCGGATAAACTGGCCGAAGAAAATAAATCTGGTCTAATAAATAAAATAAATCTTTTGAGTACACATCTTAATATTCATAAACAGTCAGTTAAATTTAAAAACCCTTCTACTTTTCTATCCAAAGCTGAGAATAATTTGTCAAAACATCTGAAAAACCACCAGCTAAATTTGATAAGAACAAATAAAAAACTAAAATTCTACTCCATCTTTAAAAATGAAACAAATCACTCTGAATTCATCAATCATATCCGGAATCCTGAACGTAGGCGTGTAGCTTCCAAATTTAGGATAGGAAATCATAATTTCAAAATAGAAACTGGAAGATTTCAATCCCCAAAACTCCTGAAGACCTTAGAATCTGTGATCATTGCAACCAAAATTCAGTTGAAAACGAACCGCACATATTATTTCACTGTGATCAATACAATGATTTGAGAAAGACTCTTTTTATTAAAATCAACGACCGAAATACATTATTTACACATTACAATATCCATGATAAAGTCTGTTTTCTTTTTAACAATACTGATTCACATATCAGCAGGCTAGCTGCTAATTTCATCTTTCAAGCATTTGAAAGACGAAAGAAACATAGTTAATTCTACCGTTCCATCATATCTGCATTTCCTTAAACTTAGCTGTTTATTATTGTTATTTTAATCGGTAACACCTGTACAAAATGGTAATACTGAATAAACTTGTTGTTGTTGTTGTTGTGTCCTTTGTTTTCCTTTGTCTCTTGTGTCCCCTGTGTCCCCTGTTTTTCTTTGTATCCCTTGTGTCCCCCATATACCTTGTGTCTCTTTGAAGCCCCTGTCTCCCTTGTGTCCTCTGTGCTTTTGTGTTCCCTTGTAGCTCCTGTGTCCCTTGTGTTCCCTTGTATCCCTTGTGTCCCATTGGTCTCCTTGTGCCCTTTGTGTCCCTAGTGTCCCCTGTCCCCTTAAAGTAAAGTAAAACTTTATTTACACAGGGTAGCCTGTTCAGCTCTAAGGCTGGTCCCCATAGGGGCGCTGTATCTTAAAAAAATTAGTTACAGTCCCCTTGTGACCTGTGTCCCCATGAGTCCCCTGTGTCCCTTGTGACTTTTGTCTCACTTGTGTTTCCGGTGCCCCTTTGAGTCCCCTGTGTTGCTTGTCTCCCCTGTGTTCCCCGTGTCCCCTTCTGACCGTTGTGTCCCTCATGTCCCCTGTTTTCCTTTTTTTCCTTGTCCCTTGTGTTCCCTGTGTCCTTTGTGTTTCCTGTGTCCCTTGTGTCTTCTTATGTTCTGTTTTTTGTGTCCCGTGTCCCCCTTTTTCGTTTAAAAAACATGAAGTATTCGGTGGCGTTGCCTTTCTTTCTTATCTGGCGCGAAAACTTGGGGGTTCCATTGCTTCACGTGACAACATGCGGGGTTTTTTTGCACGCTCAGGATGCCAAAGAATGTGATTTTTTATGAAAATAAAAAAACAACACACAAAGTTCTGCTTTAATTGTTTAGAATTTTTTTATTTGATTAATCAATTAACGGTTCACTGATTTATTTATTTGAACCATTACAAACACAGCAATGATTGTTGTCCATATACAAACATATAAATCGCTCCTTCATAAAATGATTAGTCCTGATCACGAATGCGCACTCGTACTTTCATAAGATAAAAAATAAGCGCCCATTTATCTTTATAAAAACCCCTGCAATCTTCCTTTGAACTTATATTTATTGTTCGATAGTCCATGCAGTCTTAATTCTTTCCATAAATGTTTCAATCCAACCTCAATGCACTTAAAAGAATTCAATTTTAATATTAACATGAAAACCAAGCGCATACCGGCATTTCTTATATATAAATTGCAATCGCCATTAAGACCCTGTTTACATGGAGTGGGGACCCCGGTCTAGTGGGGTAGGTTTTTTTGTTTTGTGTCCCCAGAGCGTGAAAACAAAAGAAACCAACCCCACTAGACCGGGGTCCCCCACCCATGTAAACAGGCCCTAATACACTTAACCTAGTTTCGCAATAAGTTAATTGTTACATAATTATTGCAACAAGTCTTGGTAAATTAGACCCTAGATTAATAACATGCACTTTCTTACTTAGCATTAGCATTGCAATACCCTCACAGTAAGTTAATTACCAGATTAATCAAATGCGCGCACTCTAAATTTTGCCTACAATACCCAGAAAGACACACACAAGAATAAATACACGGGCTTGTAGGTCAGCAAGGGCCTCAAAGCCGGTTTTTTGCAAAACGTCCCTCAGATTACAAAAATGCACTAAAATACAAAACACCCTATGACGAAACACGAATCTCAAAGAAAAAAAGTACGACACCGCCGGATACGAAAACCCAAAACCACTTTGTGGAAAAAAGGGAACGTACACCCCCACCTGCTGAAATCAGCTGCGGTGCCGACAACTCGGGGCAGAGGTACGCAAAATCTAGCTGCCAAAAGCCTATAAACAAATATAACAACAATTGGCAAATAAAATGAA